ATTGTTGTTTTTCTTTTTCTAAGAAAACAAGTTTTGACATTCTTGGTAAAATTTTAATGAAAATACATATTTGAATGGATGTAAAAACATAAACTAGATAAGATATATGGAGAGAAGGATCCATTAATTGTAGCGTACCACGATCCTTATAATAACCTTTATAGTATGATTGTTTAGAGCCGTCTTTTCAAGTTGGCCCGGCATGGCGAGGTGGATAAGGCGCTCGACTCGCAATCTGAGGGTCGCGGGTTCGAATCCGCATCCCACCAAACATGCTCGCCCTTTTAGCCGTGGGGGCGTTATAATGTGACGGTCAATCCCACTATTCGTTGGTAAAAGAGTAGCTGCCTTCCCTCTAGTCTTACACTACTAAATTAGGGACGGCTAGCGCAGATAGCCTTCGTGTGGCTTTGCGCGAAATTCAAAAACAAACAAACAAACAAACCTGCCCTTGCTTTTATAGTGTCTAGGTGCGGATACCACGCTTGTTCGTCATAATTCTTATTTACCTGGACTTGTATATAAGTCCACAATGGACATTAAAAGGACGAACACCACGTCAGCTTTAATAGATTTGGGTTTAACCTTATTATCACATTATCGCCGCCGTTATTTACCCAAACTCACTTTAAAACGCCTCCCCCCTAATGATATAGCAATATGCCTGCAGACTTACAACGCTAGAGACCGGGTTTCGATACCCGTTGTGGGCAGGACACAGATAGCCAGTTGTGTAGCTTTACGCTTAACGTCGAACAAACAAATAAACCCATTAAAATCCGTGACCACTGCAGCTTATAATACGATGCCAAAAAACTTAATGAAATCTAGAATAAAGATAAGTTTGAGAAATTTTTTCTCAACCATTTTCAAAGTAACATATTAATACAAGGGGTTAATTTAACTTTGATATTTCCGGTCCTCTGGTGTTATTGGAACTCTTTCATCAGCGATCATGCTAATTCTGACAGCAATGGCTACTCACTGTAGCTTAAAACCCAGCTTTTCCTGTAAAAAACTTCTGCGAAAGACGGCAGGGTCTCCCTTAATTAAACCACACATCTTGGCAAACTTTCCATAAATCATGCACCTTATATGGAAGTCAGCTCACAAAATGACTCAATGTTAAGCAAAACAAATGCTCTGATATCCAATTGGTGAAGTCACGAGATATATTGGTAGACCGGGATAGCTTGAATTGGTCTTAGAAATCCTGCTATGGGCTTAGTTCGGCGTGTGACTTGGCGTTTTATATCCTGATGTTGCCATATTTTCTTAGCGTCCTGGCCATACAGTGAAGGACCCTTATCTCGTATAACTGGTGTCAGTACATTCTCCTGACAATATTCAGAATTCGCTTTTGTTCGTTAAATGAGAATCCTGCTATTTCCATAAAGCCGAACGAAAAACTTTCTTCACATTTTCTGTCATATCAGAAAACCTTTATCACCTGGTGGTCGATAGAGGAAATCGTCTAATTCTTGTTGCAATTGTTCAAACATACTCAGTCGTCTTGCACTCTTATGTGAAAAATAATTTGTTCACTTTGTCTTTTTCTCTACAACGTGTCTGGTAAGCAGGTTGTATGTACACTCGTGGTTTACATTGTTTACAAGGACAAGGTCTTTCTGGATTACAACGTGCACAGTTGATCAGGATATGTACAACATGTTAGCAAGGACAAGGTCTTTCTAGAGTACAACGTGCACAACTGATCAGGATATGTACAACATGTTAGCCAGGACAAGGTATTTCTGGAGTACAACGTGCACAGTTGAGCAGGATATGTACAACATGTTAGCCAGGACAAGGTCTTTCTGGAGTACAACGTGCACAGTTGATCAGGATATGTACAACATGTTAGCAAGGACAAGGTCTTTCTGGAGTACAACGTGCACAACTGATCAGGATATGTACAACATGTTAGCCAGGACAAGGTCTTTCTGGAGTACAACGTGCACAGTTGATCAGGATATATACAACATGTTAGCAAGGACAAGGTCTTTCTGGAGTACAACGTGCACAACTGATCAGGATATGTACAACATGTTAGCCAGGACAAGGTCTTTCTGGAGTACAACGCGCACAGTTGATCAGGATATGTACAACATGTTAGCAAGGACAAAGTCTTTCTGGAGTACAACGTGCACAACTGATCAGGATATATACAACATGTTAGCCAGGATAAGGTCTTTCTGGAGTACAACGTGCACAACTGATCAGGATATGTACAACATGCTAGCAGTCACTTTCTGCATGGGTAAGGAATGTTGGACAATCAGTCTGCTGGATGTTCTTTTAGGTGATTTTGTATCCTCATATAGATGTGCTGATCATCCCTTATTGATGTCATTCAATAAGTTACTTATAATCTGCTGTTTAGGTCATTTTGTATCCTCATATAGATGTGCTGATCATCCCTTATTGATGTCATTCAATAAGTTACATATAATCTGCTGTTTAGGTCTATTTTGTATCCTCATATAAATGTGCTGATCACTCCCTTATTGATG